GCCTAATTTTGATTGAATTTTCTGAATTTTCGAAAATTACCAAAGTTTAAATTGATCTTCCTTCAACTACAATATTGAAGATAGAGATTTTTGCTTAATGAAATCTTTAAATTAGGTCATACATAATCTTTTGAAAACATGAGAAGTTTTCGCATAATTTTTCCTTCATATAAAGCCAATTAAAATAATCTTTTCTCAAAAACGTCTTCAAATGTTTTCCTTGTTTTTTTTTTTCGAATGGAACAACGCTTATGATGCAGGTTTTCGAATGTTTATTGTAGAATGTTTTATGACATTAGAAAACATGTTCTGCCCTTAAAAAAACAACCAGCGTGAAGTAATTACAGTGAATCAATAATAATGCAAGACTAATGAAGCAGTTAATCAAAATGGGGTCCGTCGTATTATTTCTTTCAGTTTATTTCTTATTTTGATCCTATTTTCACAGTCCTATAGAACTAGCACCTTGGCTAGTGGTAAATAACTATTTGTCATAAAATTTGTTATTATTACTTACATCGTATTTAGGAATAAACACCGTGATGGTAATTAAAAACCGTTCATTTCCCCCGGTAATTTGTTAATGCAGCAGTGGCGGTGGTTCCGTGATAAGACCTTCATTTTCTGACTTTATAGCACCTAGGTTCGAATCCTGACACAGATTGGGATTTTTATCTGACAATGTCTAATAAGAGCGGCTGTGAGATAGACTTAACCTTCCTTTCCAAGAGAGTACCGGAATATTTCCTGGGAGTAAAGTCAGCCGAAGCGTTGTGCTCACCACACAACTTCCTCCTTGTGCCGTCTGAGACGAATAGACGCGCAACTTCTCCCTTGGGCCACATTGGCCTGTATGCAATTGCACGGCGTCTCCTAATTCATTGATACATTGATTCTTCGATACAGAAATCCTATATCAACTTAAATGATCTGTAGTTGTAAAGCGAATTCATCTCAACTGTTCCTTGAAAAACTAGTCCCAAAATACAACACCAGTTCCACGCCATCTACCTCTGTCGTTCAAGTTCTCCACAGAAGAGTTGCAGAAAAGAAAACTTGCAAACAAGCCAATGGAGGACCGTGAACTATACATTTATGAAATCAAGGACACGTGACTGAGACTTTAAACAGATATTCAAACAAAAGTGGCTGTTGGAATCTCTGTTCCAAGAAGTGGCCGCTAAGAGGTACAGTGAGTAGCGTGATGGCCCCCTGACACTTCCCGCACTCACAAAGCCATTCAACACACACACATAGACACACACACACAGACACACACACACAGACACACACACACAGACACACACACACAGACACACACACACAGACACACACACAGACAGACAGACACACACACACACACACACACCCCGCGCGCGAGTCAGTGGCGCTCGTTGAGCTCCCCCATGTACAGCGCGAGCTCCGCGCCCTCGAACTCCGAGTGGTCGAGGTCCTGCAGCGAGGAGTTGCTGATGGTGCCGCAGCTGGAGGCGGCGGCGCTGGCGACGGAGGCCCGCGAGGGGCGGCGGGGGCGGGCGGTGGCCGCGGCGGCGGCGGCGGCGGCGGCAATATTTGACTCTACATGTTACTTTTGTACCGACTTGAAAGAAATTTTATTATAATTCAAGACGTCTCACTTTTTTCCTTTAAGAAAATTAACTTAGAAGTTGGGGAATCAACATTTTTTTGTATACAGGGTTAAGGGGAAAGGGGACGCTTACAAATATAGTTCAGGGCCTAATTTTGATTGAACGTTTCTGAATTTTCGAAAACTTGCCAAAGTTTAACTTGATTCGGCATCTTCCTTCAACTAACAATATTGAAGATAGAGTACGTTTGCTTAATGCAATCTTTTAAATTATTGCCATACAATAATCTTTTGAAAACAGAAGATGTTTTTCTGCATAATTTTTCCTTCATATAAAGAAAATTAAAATAATCTTTTTCTAAAACACGTCTTCAAATTTTTTTTGCCTTGTTTTTTTTCTTCGAATGGGAACAACGCTTATGGATGCAGTTTTCGGAATGTTTTATTGTAGAAATGTTTTATGAACATTAAACATGCTCTGGCTTAAAAAACCACCACGTGAAGTTAATTATTACAAGTGGAAGCAGTGATTATGCTAACTAATGACGCAGTTCATCAAAATTGGTCCGTCGTATTATTCTTCAGTTTATTTCTTTTTGATCTATTCTCACAGTCCCTATAGAATACCTACCTCCGACTAGTGGTAAAGAACTATTTGCCATAAAATGTGTTTTATTACTTAAATCGGCATTTAGGTATAACACCGTGATGGTAATTCAAAAACCGTTCATTTTCCCCCCTAATTTGTGTAATGCAGGCCAGTGTGGTGGTTCCGTGATAAGACGCTCATTTTCTGACTTTTGTAGCACCGAAATTCGAATCCATGACACAGATTGGAATTTTTTTATCTGACAATGTCTGAAAGAGGCGGCTATGAGATAGGCTTAACCTTCCCTTTCCAAAAGAGTACCGGAATCTTTCTGGGAGTGAAGTCAGCCGAAGCGTTGTGTCGCACACAACCTCCTCTTGGTGTCCTGAGGACGGAATAGATGCGTAACTCCCCTGGGGCAACATCCGGCTGTAAATTGCACGGTGACTCCTTATTCATTGAATATTGACTCTTCGTACAGAATCCTAATAATGAACTAATTATCTGTTAAGTTGTTAAAGGAATCCATCTAATGTTCCTTGAAAAACTAGTCCCCAAATAAAACAGTTTCCGCGCCATCTATCTTGTCGTTCAGATGCTTCTCCACCGAAGAGTTGCAGAAAGAAACTTGCAAACAAGCCAATGGAGACGCGTGAAACTATAGCAGTTTTATGAAATCAAGGACACGTGAACTGAGACTTTAAACAGATATTCAACAAAGTGGCTGTTGGAATCTCTGTTCCAAGAGGGCCGCTTAAGAGGTCTACAGTGAGTTTAGCGGAGGAATGGCCCCTGCAAACTTCCCGCACTCGCAAAGCCAATTCAACACACACACACAGACACACCCCACAGAAACACACACAGACACACAAACATTCAGCACACACACAGACACAACACACACACAGATCACACACATACAGACACACACACATACAGACACACACACACGACACACCACACAAGACACACACACACAGACACACACACACAGACACACATCATCAGACACCACACAACACAGACACACACCACAGACACACACACAGACACACAACACACAGACACACACACAACACACACACACAGACACACACAACAGACAATACACACCACACAGACACAACACACACAACACAACAACGACAGAAACACCACACAGACACACAAACAGACACACACACAGCATCACACACAGACAACACAGACACACACACACAGACACACCACACAGACACCACACAGGACACACACACAGACACACACACAGACACACACACAGACACACACACACAGAACACACACAGACACACACACAGACACAACCACACCAGACACACACACAGCCACCACAGACACATACACAGACACACACACAGACACACACACAGACCACACACAGACACCACACACGACACAACCACACACAGACACACACACACACAGGACACACACACCCAGAACACACACACAGACACCACCCCAGACACACACACACCGACACACAAGACACACACACACAACACACAACAGACAGAACAAACACACAGACAGACACACGCAGACAGACACAACACACACACACACACACACACACACACACCGCGCGCGAGTCCAGTGGCGCTCGTTGAGCTCCCCAATGTACAGCGCGAGCTCCGCGCCCTCGAACTCCGATGTCGGAAGGTCCTGGGCAGCGAGGAGTTGCTGGATGGTGCCGCAGCTGAGGCGGCGGGCTGGCGACGGAGGCCCGCGAGGGGCGGCGGGGCGGGCGGTTGGCCCGGGGCGGCGGCGGCGGGCGGCGGCGGCGGCGGGCGGCGCGCGCCGGGCGCGCAGCAGCCCGCAGCACGTCCCGGGGGCGCGGGCTCAGCGCGGCGGCGGCGGGGCCGGGGGCGGCGTCCGCTGCCGGCCCGCGACGTCCGAGGCCGTCGCCTGCTGCACTCGGACGCGCCGCGGGCCTTGGAGACGACACGGCGGTGGAGCTGGCACCGCGGCCGCCACCTTGCCCTCGCGCTCGCCTCGGCAGCTCCTATCATTCGGGAAACGCTCCATTCGAACAGCCACCAGTCTTTTTGTAATCCTACTCATTACAGATTATTGCAGCACGCGGTGGCAAGGAATTTAATGGAGAATCAATGTATGATATATGAGTTAGAAACATCAAACGGTTTGAGTGCACATCTTATAACATGGAATGAAGTGCACAAATCTCTAATCTTTAAAGCCATCTGGCGATGGAATGTTACTTATTTTTATTTAAGACAAATACTTCATTCCAAGTTATTTCACACTGCAAGGCCATATAATGTACTGCTCTATTGTGTGTTTATAATTGAATTCACAGTTCTCTTAGCTGTCCATAACCGTAGCCAACACTCCTTATCCTATCTCTATGTATTCGCAACGTTTGTCAAATGTAGTCAACTGCACAGCATGCATATCCTCCATGTCTCGTTCCTACGAAAGAAACCCACAAGCACACTTCTCATGTTCACACATTCAACGTTTCCTTCCATAGACAGCACGTTACAACATAATTCTTGAAATTAAGCTACGACTAGCCTGAAGCAGGGTTGGCCGCGGAGACGGGTGCGGCGGGGCCCGCGGCGGCGGCACGGCGGTGGGCGCGGGCTCCGAGTGGAAGCGGCGGCCGGCAGGCAGGCGCCAATCGCGTGGGGCGGGGACCGTTGGCCGCGGCGGGGGGGGGGCGGGGCCGGGGGCGTGCGGGGCGGGCCGGCCGTGGCGGCGGACAGCGGGCGGCGCACGCGCCGGTCCCGCCCGCCGCCCGCCCGCGCG